CCCTCCCTCCCTCCCTCCCTCCCCCCCTCTCTCTCAACTTTATTGATTGAATGGTTTTTTTAAAAACTTGTTTAGCCACCCAGAGTCAAATTTGGAAGGTGGATGGGCATATAAATGATTGAAATAGAGATACACTAGAAGTGAATCTTTCTTCTCATTAGGGAACAGTCGTTCATATTGACCAGCTTCTAGATGGCAATCAAAGTCAGGGCAAGTCTAACCACTAAGGAAAGACTGTTCCCTATTAAAGAGAGGAAGGGGGAGTGGGGAGGGAGGGAAGAGAGAGAGAGAAAGAGAGACAGAGACAGAGAGACAGACAAATGTTGATTGTGGTTTTCAGAAAGTGGACCTCTAAAAATTTTGGCACCTGATCAACCAAACATTTCAGATTATATTTAGAAACATAAGTGTATGATATACAGTTGTTATCTATTCCTGGTATGTAATGCAGGCAACTTCATTTTATCCCAACTGTAGGTTCTGGGATGCCTTTGAAGGTAGCACAATTCAGTAGTCTAACCAGGTACGCATGAGACCATGAGAGTTACTTTTGCAAAATATTCCTATTGATACAGTAGATCTGCCACTTTTGATACATATTTATATGGAAATGTAGTTGGAACTTTAATTAAGAGCAAAAGTATGAATTAATAGCATCTGAATTACTCTGGGTCTGTATGAAACTAAGAATTTATTAAATGGTGTTAGTTGCATTTAATAGCTAAGAGGATGATTATAATAAAAGAACAAAGCTTTGGAGAAGTTAACAGAACAATCCTAACTTTAGGGTAAGTCTTACCTGATGCATAAATAAATAGACTCAAGCCAGTCACTGGTTCATTATTCCTTTTATTATTTTTAATCTAATTTTTGCTAATATGCCTCTTTTGTTTTAAAATAACAATTGCTACACAAGCCTGCCTGCCTAAAATCAAGATGCTAAGGCTATACAGGTGAGTCAGAGGAACTGTCTTGGAATTCTTATGTACATATTACTTTTCCGTGATTCATTAACAAACCAAATTATTTCTGACATTTGTGTAGATCTGAAAAAAAGTTTTTGGGCTGATATCTGTCTAATTGTAATTATGGAACTCAACACAATTTATTTAGGAATTCCTAAACAGTGTCATCTCCAATCACTGGTTATTCAGACTTCCTGAGCTTCTGCATATTTGTGGTTATATGCCTGACATATATAGCCCCCCCCCCTTCCAAAACAGGAAAGACATGTGGTGATTTTTCTAAGTAGATATCTTTATTGTTCTACACCTATAGACAGAATATTGCCATAGTAAAGCACTGTTCTATCTACACAAGCCTGTACTCAAAAGAACTTTCAGGAAGGTAGCTCTTCCTCTCACATATACTATCTGAACTGAGCTGTCTCTTACTCCTCTGGAATGCACTCTGTTCCTCCTGAGAATCCAGACCAGTATAATCCATCAGCATCATACATTATTATGTTTATTGGTCATTGACATATGTTACTTATCAGAACAGCAGCTATATCATATGAACTGCATCAGAAAAAAATGTGGGTTGATGCACTCATCAGAAATTTTTTAGCAATGTTTTTTTTTGTATATACTGTAAGAAACATAAGAAACAATTGATGCACTCAGGTAGTCCTCAACCTATACCATAAATGGGACTGGAATTTCAGTAGTAAATGATGCAATAGTTAAATTAATATTCACATAACCGGACCAAATTTTCTTACTATTTTTACTGCAGTTGTTAGTGAAGCACATGAGCATTATATGAATCCTGCTTCCTTGGTTGACTTTGCTTGTTTGGTGCAAAGGTTGCAAATTGTGATCACATGACTAAACATACTGCAATTGTTGTAAATACATGCCGGTTGCCAGGTGCTCAAATTGTGATTGCGTGATTGCGGATGGGGTGATTGTCATAACTTTGATAATGGATCATAAATCACTTTTTCTGAGACCGTCGTAACTTTGAACTGTCATTAAATGAATCAAGGACTACCTGTAGGTTCATGGGTATTGAGCAATTGCTCCAATTTTGGAGGTTTCTGTCCAATTCATTATTTTGTTACAGTTAACATTTACATATTAACAAGATGCAATGTGGAATAGAGGAGAGAAAGCAAAAAAATCTACTAGGGAATTAAAGAACACAAGGTTCAAGCCAGTTAAATTTAAAAGGAACTCTGACTGAATGCTGAGATGTCAGCAGTACCCAGCATCTGTTCCAAAGAAACTGACCTTTATTTTCAGCATAATTGCAAAGTTCTATATACATCTCAAAAATTGACTACTGCTATGCATCTTAAGAGAAAATATCAAAACCAAGATGAAAATATATGAAAAGCAGAAGACAAATCAAACCAAGAAACATTCAACAAAATCCTAATCCCTCTTGCTGATAGAATACCACCAGCGCTCACATAGTGAAAATTACCCATGCTTAATTAAATAATTATTTAGTGCAAAAAGGTAATTTTTTTTATTTTAAACAAAAACATCCAAATTGCTTTTTTAAAACGTTTTATACAATCTGTTTTGTACATAGTAATTGAAGGACGTATGGATGCTTTCAGCTTTGTTTTAAGCCATTTGTTAGTTTATGTGTTGGTGGATCCATTCATAAAATGCTGTGACCTTAGTATAAACTCCAGGGCGGTTTCTTCGAGCACATCCTTCACCCCAGCTGACAATGCCTGTAAGGTACCATCTGTTTCCTTTTCCTAAACAGGCTAATGGTCCTCCAGAATCACCCTAAAAGGAAAGGAGGAAGTCTTGTTATTAGAAAAAAATAGTTTCATTACATTCTAAACATAGTGACATTTACGGTAATTTTGTATTATTGACTAACAGAATGGGAAATTCTACTGAAGAGTACCTCATTCAACTCCCTGAACAATGAAAGATACCCTACAGCAGGGCTGTAAAACTCCCAGCCCGCGGGCCGGATGTGTCACATGCTGGCCATACCCCTGCCCATTTTAGCAAAGGGGAAAACAGTTGTGATACGTCACACGATGACGTATCGTGAGTTTGACACCCCTGCCCTAAGCATTCTGATATATAAGTCTAGCAAAGAACAGCCTGTTCCACAGGCAGTTTGTTATACTAAACTGCTCTCAGCCTTACAAATTTGCAATGTTTCTAAAGTTTGGCTTAAAATTCCTTTTATTTTCTATTTTCTTCCATTAGCTCTGGATGAAAATAAAAGCCACTACTGGCTTTTGACACAACAGAATGTAACAAGCAAATAAATCCTTGTTTATTTTTGGTACAATTGATTTTCAGATCTTTGAAGACCATCTCTTTTTATACTTTTTTACTTCTTAGTCAAGATTAATAAACACAAGTCTTACAGCCATTTCTCATCTAATTTCAGAGGTGGGTTGCTACCGGTTCACACCGGTTTGAGTGAACTGGTAGTGGAAATTGGGACTCGGTCGCCGAACCGGTAGGGATGGCAGGTGGCCATGCCCCTGAACCATCTCTGCTGCCGTTGCTGGCTTGGTTTTTAATCATTTTTAAATCATTTTTGTTCTGCATGCGCAGAACAATTTACACTCAAGTGTGCACGTGTGTGCAAAGCGAGCAAAAAGTGAACTGGCAGCAACGCCACCAGCAACCTGTCTAATTTGGTTTCTGGTTTTTCAGAGTCTTTGTTGTTATTTTCCACATGCAGTCCAGCTTCTCCGTGCTGATCTCAAAAGGTGCTCAGAATTGACCCAACATTTCAAATGTAATCTTCTTGATACACAAGAAAACTATTGATCCTGATGACTTACTCTATTCTATTCCACACAGATTGAAATTACAAAAGTGTCTAACATTCTAGTGTATAATACTATACATTTTTCCCAATGTTGTGAAATTAGGAAAACATTTATTTATATTTAACTAACATAATATTGCTGAGGTTATTCATCACATTTTAACTTCTACTAATATAACTCTTTTAGGCAAATATTAGTAACAGACGAGTCAGATGACTTATGTTGTCTTCCTTTTCTTACAAAACAGAAATATGAAAAGTATTCTTTGATCATATCATTTAAAAGGCAGTCATATAAATCATGTTTTCTTTTCACAGTTTGGTTTTTGGCTTTACCTGACATGCATCTGTACCACCATTCAGATTCCCAGCACATAGCATTTGAGATGTAATTAAAAAATCATAAAGTTTGTTGCAAACACTTTGGTTAATGATTTTTACTTTGGCTTCTTGTAATGTTTTTGTAAGTTGACCTAAATTGATAGAAACATAGTATAAGTATAGTATTTGCTATGTCATCCTCACATTTGCTAGTGATAGCTAGTATAAATAAACTAGGGAGTCTGTTTGTTGAAAGAGAGTAGAAGCATCCAGGGAGGTCCAGTGGTGGGTTTCAAATTTTTTTTAGAACCTCTCCTGTAGGTATGGCCTACTTTGTGGGAGTGGCTTGCTGGCAATGTGACCGGGTTGGAGTGGCTTGCCAGCCATGTGACTGGGTGGGTGTGGCCAATGTAAAATGTGATGAAACTCATTTAACAACGCTCTTGCTTAGCAACCAAAATGTTGGCCCAGAAACTCTGGCATTTGAAGCACGCAAGTCTTAAAGCTGTCAAGTTACAAGATCCTTGCACCCCTAACCCTTTAGAAAAAAAACCCCAGGGGTGTTCAAACTTGACAGCTTTAAGACTTGTGGACTTCAACTCCCAGAATTCCTCCTCCAGTCATGTTGGCTCAGGAACTCTGGCATTGAAGTGTTCAAGTCCTAAAGCTGTCAAGTTACAAGATCCTTGCACCCCTAACCCATTAGAGAACCCCCCCACAGGGGTGTTCAAACTTGACCGCTTTAAGACTTGTGGACTTCAACTCCCAGAATTCCTCCTCTCGCTCTTCATCTTGATGATGTGCAGACGGGCGGGGGGAGGGAGTTGGAACCGGTTCTAAACAGCACTGTAGATTTGTGGAACTCTTCTATAGAAGAGGTTGGAATTGGCAGGAATCCACCCCTGGGCAGGTCCAATGTGTTTCTACAGTGATAAGAGCCAAAATGAAGCATTCAAAAAGATAAGGAACACCAACCATTTTTGATGTTCCTCTGAAACATCAAAAGTTGGATCTGCCACATGAAAATTAGATTGCCATTTGTACCAATTTTTTTTTAAAAAGGGAGGTGGGAATTGATAATAGATCACTGATACTGATTATTGTGATCTAGATAGAATTTATTTAAAAATGGTTGATAGTCTTTCTTCACTCCCCTGGAATGATATTACAGTTTGTTTAATTGAAGCATATTTTTGTAACAAATTGCAATGAACCTGTCAAGATCTGGCCTATAGGTTTGAAATTTTATTAGCTCACATGTTGCATTCCTTTATAGTAGTTTACATAGCAATTGGTACATTAAATAAATGAAATATAAATAAAATTGTACTTGTCTTCAAGTTGAAAGATACATCTTCCAACTGGCATAAGTAATGTAATGCTAAGAACTTTATGAAATTAAACATCTCCATCAACTAAGGATATGTTTTCAGAATTGCAACAGATTTTCCTTAATCTTATTAAGTTTAATTAGATCCATCATTATAGCTGAAATTGATTTGCACAGCAGCTGACAGTTATGTTTCACAAAAACGTACAACAGATTAGGGATACTTGCAATTTGAAATGAACATACTATTTTCTTTTACAGCTCCCCAGCCAGTTACATAGCAGACAGTTCCATAAATAAATACTCTAGGACTGCTCAGTAAACATACGGGCTGTACCAGCTCAGTGAAAAATACCGGTGCCTCCATTTCCAAGAGTGCAATGTCATAATCTGAGATGTATTGGTCATAATTTGGATGGACTATTATCCTTTTGATTGATCTCATTACTGCTTGATTATTGCTGTATTTGTTAATGCTTTTTATACCCATATATGCTGTCCAGCCAGATGCTATGGAGTATCTGAAAAACAAAGATTGCAATTCTAATAAATGTTGTCATGAAGGGGATGTGGAACCGTGCCTTTGTTCCCTGCCCTGTGGAACACCTTTCTTCTGGGATCTAGCAGACCTTCACAATTTTAGTCTTCCAGGAAGCTCTTAAGGCTGCCATTAGGCTCTGGGATAGTAAGGTTGGAACCTGGGAATTGTATAGATCCGGGGTGTCAAACTTACAGCACGGGGGCCAGAAACGCCCCACGGGGTGCTTAGATCTGACTCACAGGACCACCCTGGAAACAGCCCATTTTCGCTGGCAGAGATTTGGGCCACCACAGGCATCTCTGACATGAGTGATATATAGCTGGCCACCCCTACCCCACCTCAAACACAATGCTGATGCAGCCCTCAGTGAAATCGAGTTTGACACCCCTGGTATAGATGAATAGATGGAAATGATAGGTTAGGCCCCTGGGTTTTCTCATTTTTTAAATTTTTCTTGTTTCTGGTTTTATTATTGTGAGCTGGCACATGTCAGCTTCTTTTTAGTTTTTATTTAAAATAAAGAGCAAGACAGCGACTAGGCAGATATGAATTTGATGCCTATGAGCTAAACGATACTTAAACAATCATACTACAAGATTCTGGATGTCTATTGTCAGTAATATATGCTTTGCATTACCTAATGCATACCTTAAAGACTCGGAGTCCTGAAAGCAATGCGCAGCAGATACCAACCACCGATTTGAAATTACAGAGGCGCCACATATGTGACCAGATGTTCCCAGTTGCAAGCTTGCTTGCCAAGGCCACTTTCCAGGCCTTGATTCTTCACCACCTACAATTCTGAATTTCGTTACTTGACTCCTTCCACATGCTAAAAGAGAGATACTGATTACTTTCTATGAATTGTGCAATACAATCCTGAGCAGATACAGATTTTGATTTGCATGTCCTAAAAAAAAAAAAAAAGCCGAACTCCCCTATTATGATTACAGCTCCTTTCAAGTAGTCCCACATTAATTACATACCACAATTCATTTCATCAAATCCATCTTCACAGTCTCTTATGCCATCACATTCTGGATTTAATTTTTTTGGACATTTCCCATTTAGACACTTATATGATTGAGGTAGACATCTTTTATACGCTGAAAAGATGAAATGACCAGTGAAAAAATGGTCAGTATTTTGTTTGTTTGTTTGCAGTTTAGATTTCTGATCTACATTTCTTCCAGGTGTTTAAGATGGTATATTTAGCACTCTGTCCATACCTAATAGACCTGTGAGATAGAATGGGCTGAAAGAGGGTGACCGGCCCAAACTTATAGTTTCTCAGATAGGTTATATATTTAGTGTTTTACAAAATGACAATATAATGCCATCATTATGGTTGGATAAACACTGCATTTAAATACTCTAGGTACATGGGAAGATGGCCATTTGTCAATATCCAATTCTATCTTGATGTGATTCTGAGTTTAAATACTCCATGTCTTCACTTAGGCTACTCTGTGTGTGCATGCACATGATGCTCACAAGCACTTTTGAGGACTGTTTTATTTATTTATCAAATTCAGACACTACCCATTTCTCTCCAAGTGATGTGTTAACAGAGGGACTACCTTCTGTAACAATGGAGGCATGGCCATCCTCCATTACCTAATGTCCATTGGAGCTGAGCAGCCAATACATTTAAATAAATAAATAAATAAAATGTGTTTTGGTCTGCCCTGTAGCATTCATAAAGTTTAGAGCTGTGATGGTGAAGCTATGCCACGTGTGCCACAGGTGGCACACAGAGCCATTTTTGAGGGCACCCGAACTTACAGTTTGCATGTTGGGCTGTTTTTCAATCTCCCCAGGCTCTTAGAAAGCCTCTGGACCCACCAGAAGTCAGAAAGCAGGCCATTTCCAGCCTCGGTAGAGCCTCTGAGGGGGGCAGGAAGCCCATTTTCGCCCTCCCCAGGCTCCAAGAAAGCTGTGTGTGCATGTGCAGGACAGCGGGGGGGGGAGGTGACTCTCACGCATGTGCATGGGGCATGGCATGGGGATATTAAGTTATTGGGTGGGCATGCATGATAGTGCGTGCACGTGTGCGTGATAGTACACGCACATGTGCTTTTGGCACCCGAGGCAAAAAAGGTTCGTCATCACTGGTTTAGAGCATGGTTTTCTACCTTTTGGCTTGCCTGGCCACATTATATGAGGGGTGAATTAACTTAGGCTGCATATAAAATATATAATATAATTAATGTATGCAAATAATAAACTTTTATTTAACATTTTAATATTAAAATAATACATATTTATAATACATGATATATTTTTTATTATTTTTCATGATATGGCCCATGGACTGTGGTTGAACATGCCTAGTTCAGACTTTTCATTCTGGATTAAAGCAGCAAAGTACAGGTAGTCCGTGACTTACAACCACAACTGAGCCCGAACTTTTAAGTTGCTAAGCGAGACAAGTTGTTAAGTAATTTTTTTCTATGTTATGACTTTTCTTCCTACAGTTGTTAAGGGAATCACTACAGTTGTTGAGTTAGTACAATGATTGTTAAGTGAATCTGACATCTCCATTAACTTTGCTTGCCAGAAGGTCTTAAAAGCCAATCACATGACTCCGAGACATTGCAACGGTCATAAATGTGAGTCAGTTGCCAAGCATCTGAATTTTGATCATGTGAGCATGGGGATGCTGCAACAGTCGTAAGTGTGAAAAATAGTATACGTCACTGTTTTCAGTGTTGTTGTAACTTTGAAAAGTTACTAGATGAATTGTTGTAAGTTGAGTACTACCTGTATTAAGTATAAGAAAATTAAAGAAAAGTGAGTCATGTTTTGAATTAATCACCATATATGACCACTACCAGTGGTGGGATTCAAATAATTTAGCAGCCGGTTCTCTGCCCTAATGATTTCTTCCAACAACCAGTTCACCAAACTGCTCAGAAAGTTAGCAAGTGATTCTCCCAAAGTGGTGCGAACTGGCTGAATCCCACCACTGAAAAGGGATAACAAATAATGTTCAGGAAGATTTAAATGAATGTTTTGAAGATATTCCATTTTTTTTCATATAGGATATTTGTATGTATAGGTTAGGTTTCATATAGGTTATTTTTTTCATGTAGGTTATTTGTACCTGCAATCCAAAATTAGTTGAAAGCATTACATGCAGAAGCTGTCTTCCTCCCTCTCCTGGCCTGCATTCTTACAGCAGTTAGCCTCTTTGCAAGACTGGGAATGAGGTTTACACTTCGCAGTACTACAATTTAACTGTGCTGCATTGCAACCCAAAGAAGTCTTAATACAGTCAAACCACAGCGTTTAGCTGTAGCATTTTTTTAATATAAAGCATATTCCCCCAAACAACTCTATTTTGGTTAAACAATATTTTCATATAATGCTATTCCAGATTTATTGTATCAAAGTTTGTGATTAAAGATATTGTAGGAAGAAGCTGAGTAATAAACATAGCTGATTCAGGCAAACTCTAGATTTGTTTTGATTATAGGTACTGCCCTTTTTAGTGACCATCCAAAGTTAGAGTGGTGCCAAAAAGGAAGCTTTATGACCAATCCTCACACTTTTGACCATCACAGCATCCCTACAATCAAGTGATCAAGATTCAGATGTTCTCAACCAGTTCGCATTTATGACAGTTGCATCATCGTGGAGTCAAGCGATAGTCATTCCCATGTTTCACAACAGCTTCCAACAACCAGAGAGTCAATGGAACAGCCATCAGTAAAATCACAAGTTGTGGTTACGTGATATCTTGCTAAACAACCATGGCACTTAGTGACAAAATTGCCAGTCCCAGTTGTGTCATTTGACAAGGACAATCTATATTTTTTATGCCGGACCCCAGAAAAAATTAGCATTAGTAAATTAGTAAATCTACAATTAGATAAGACTTGGGTTCAGATATAATGCATTTATAATTCATAATAAAACAGAACAGCAATTGTTTTTTTAAAAAACAAGCATGTTTTTTTCTTGGAAGGGATTTATGCTTTATGTTCAACCTTAGGTCCACTTTTGGCTTTTATGTGATATATGAACTTATTACAGATCGTCCTCAACTTACGGCCACAATTGAGCATAATAATTCTGTTGTTAAGTGGAGCAATTGTTAAATGAGTTTTTTTAACACTATTTTATGACTTTTATTGCCACAGTTCAGTAAATCACCAAAGTTGTTAAGTTAGTAACACGCTTGTTAAGTGAATCTGGCTTCCTCATTGACTTGGCTTGTCAGAAGGTCACAGAAGGTGGACACTGCAACCATCATAATTATGAGTCAGTTGCCAACTATCTGAATTTTGATCACATGATCATAAGGATGCTGCAAAAGTCATAAGTATGGAAAACGGTCGTAAATCACTTTTGCCAATCCCGTTGTAACTTCAAACAGTCACTAAATGAACTGTTGTAAATCAAGGACTACCTGTATTATCCTAAGTTAAGATAATGGCCTCTCAAATCATCCTTAGAATGCTGCTAGGGTTGGGTAGTCTGATTTGCCCAATCATGGAATTCAATTCCCTGAATATTGTAGGAAAAAATAATCAGAGAAAATCAGCCACTACAGAGCAAAAGGGTGCCTAGATGTCTTTGATGTGCCTTTTAAACATCAGAATTGCTTAAGTAATAGATTAACAAGGGATTTTTTTTTATCGTGACAAAAATACCAACATAAGGGCCTAATAAAGGTTCCACCTTCATAAAATATTTAGTTAAGCATTTTTATTTTATGTAGCACTAATTTTGCCTGTTTTCTTCAAAGGTTTTATACAAAGCAAAGCTCAATTATATAAAGAATTGCTAACATTTGTCAAGAAAGGTAATAATAAAGTTTCCAAGCTGAGTTTGGCCTCTTATGAATGTTCGGTTGTTTTTGCTGATAACAGTATGAAAGTGATTTCCCATTACTTTATCAGGGAGTTTGTTTGTTGTTTGAACATTCCAGCCAACACCTCCTGATATCTTTCATCCAAATGCTGTCCAGAAACAACTTTATTGTTTGTTGTTTGAACATTCCAGCCAACTTTAATTAGCTTTAAAGGTAGCTAGGTAGATCTCCATGACTGGTCAATATTAGACAAAACCAAAGATTAATTTTAACCAATTTTTTTATTTAATTAATAACATTTAAAGATTTACCAAAGGAATATAATGATTATCTAACCCAGCAAATACCCAGCAATATTTAAAATGTTAAATTTAACTTATAAACAACTTACCACAATCCATTTCATCACTTCCATCTGTGCAGTCATTCCACCCATCACATTTACTATTTAAAGGAACGCATGATCGGTCAGAACATTTAAACTGCCTTGGACAAGCTAAAAGAACATAATGTTTAAGACTATTGCAGTTGTGAAAAACATTGTATAACAGACCAATCTAATCATCATATGATGCTTGTTGTGCAGAATATATATTTTTATCAATCTGTGACATGTTTTTATTTTTCCCTCTTTTGAAAGGCCTTCTAAATTTTCCAAATAAGAAAGGAAGTTTTGTATATGGAAGGAAGCTTCTCACTGTTTTTTAAAAGTTCTTCTTTATCTTTTATGTGTATTTTTTTTAATGCATTTTATTTAAATTTATAGGCCGCCCTTTTCCCTAAGGGGACTCAGGGCGGCTTACAATTAATGGGAAGGGAGTGTAGGACAAAACACAAGAAGAAAAAAAAATGTGAATAAAAAAAATAAACCGATAAAACACAACATTCATTCAGCATTCGGGTGGGGCAAAGTACAGGTCTTATCCCCAGGCCTGACGGGATAGCCAGATCTTGAGGGCTGTGCGGAAGGCCAAGAGGGAAGAAACTGGTTCCTTGAAAGCCAGAGACTAGCTTTCGGACCTGGTGGTGGGGGAGACAGGCATTGCAAAATGTCTGCCACAAAGTTGGAGGCAACTTGACTAAGCATGAGTGCAGGAGCGATGGCTGGATGAAATGACAAGATCGGGTGAGAAGGTTTAAAACCCACTGATAGAATAAGAGTGGAATTGTTATTGGGAGGGAATTCAAATGTAAAATAGCATAAATGGAGAAATTGGGAACTGTGTGGTAAAACAAAG